TGCTGTGTTCCGATACTTCTGCCGATTGGTGACTTATCTCTTACTATTTTGACGACACGGGTTTCCTCCATTTTGCTTGTGAGGCAATTCCATTCTTTTTTTTCTATTTTGTGTCTATTCATTTATACAGTGTACGTTACATTTTCTTCTAATGTCTTCACTTCTCTTTCGATCTCTCAGCGTATTTCCTGTAATTCTTCTCAGTACTCTCATCTCTGCCTTTCCAATAGCTTTTGCGTTGTGATTGTGTCTTTATCTCAGTGCTAATGTGTCTGTTTCGCTGTAAACTGTTATTAAGGCTTTCCGCCAGTCTATTTTCTTTTTGTACTTGATCTCTCACTTCTTTGTCCAGGTTTCAATGCCATCAATTTCTATTTTACATCTGATTTGTTCTTTGCTGACTAGTGTTAGTTTCCTGAGATGAAATTGTCTTGTTAAATTCTTTTGCTCTTATGTTAAATCTGTGGACCAGTCGTTGCAGACTATCTTCTTCTTGGGCTATTAATATTCCGTCGTCCGCGTAAGAGTATTTTGATTTCTTTGTTTTCCATTCTGTATTCTCGTCCTTTGTTGCTAAAAACAAAAACAGGTAAAGTACTTGAAAGCTAAAAATATCTCTTCGTGGCGTATGAGTTCTTTATTCATGGATGGGGTCAACGCTTATATTTTCCATCATATTTCGATCACGATGGTTTAAATCTCCAATCTTGAAATATGTTGGGATTAAAAGAACATATGCTAGTTTTCTCGAATCCACTAAGTCCTTTGTCAAGTACTCTTCGATATGATTTTTGAACAGAATAAAGGTGTTAGATTTCATGTATCTAGATAACAATGGTGGCATTTTGTCCCATTTCAGCGCTTGTCATAAAACCCAACCTGTTTTCACCCTTTATGTGTTTTGGACAACTTGTTAGGGACCGTCTGGATATCAGACGCAATAACAATACTATATTATTATTCTCATAGGATTGATGTTATCTAAATTTTGTATTTCATTTAAAAGAAAAAAACTTAGTGACTGCCTTTTTAATAAAGCATCTCGCTCTGACAGCTAAAGTAGCCTCAGCAGTTCTAAAAGAAATCTCTTGATATCTCTTTAAAAATCTCTAAACCAAGCTGTTTTAGCTGACTTTTTGTTTTAAAAAAACCTGTGTTTAATAACAGTAGGCTTTTCGAATAACCTGTTACCTAAAAAAAGTACCGATAATTTTCTGACATCTCCCTTATGAATAAATAGTCTTATTTTAGTTCACTCACTAACACATTTTTATTTTTGGCCTTTTTTTTAAGTACTCAAGGGCAGATTATAAAGCCTAGCTGCTCTTTTAAAAAGCGTGCCATTAGAAATATTTTCAAAGCAAGTATTATTGAATTTGAATCCCATTCCTGTCTTGTCGTCTTCCGAATATAAGTTCTAACCATTATTTCTGTAAAGATGATATACCTACATTTGATTGTTATAATCTGATCAAATATAAAAAGTAATTTACATGCGTGATATGAAATAAACAGAAAAATTGCCTTTTTAAACCCCATTAAAAAAAATCTACTTCCTTTAATTAAAATGCCTAAAATCATAACTTTTGCGAACACGAAATTAGCAATATTACATGTGTTTTTATAGGTCATTTTAAAACAAAAGACCTCTGAGAAGGTGTCCCAGGTGTGTTGGATTCGGACGACTTTGACTTACGAGACGATTCTTGAAACGAGAAAGATCAGAGAACAGGTACAATCAACTCCAGACATTCATATTCCACCCCTGAGGGGTGGTACCTTCATTTCTTCATCGACACCAGCCCATTACGTAGTAATAGGCTGCTCCAAAAGGAGACACACACCGTACACTAGAGACAAAACAAAGCAACACGTACATATGTACATTGATTTCTGTAATATAGTCTTTGAGAATTCATTTAAGATTTCGGCGTCAGTAGTGGAAGCTGAATAGTTTACCCCACTGACGCCGACAGTTCAGTTAAAATAAACAGTTCACCTTTGTTGCCGTTTCCTATCTTTTTCTTCCTTGTGTTTTATGGTTTCTGTCACAAAACCAATGATCAAGTCAAAGATTCGTTTGTTTTCAATTGCTTTATTCATTAGTTCTTGTGGCTCGCCTAAAGGTGACCCCAGGTCCAACTGCAGTAAGGTTCGCCCCACATTGTATACAGGGCATACGAATACCACATGATGCGCGTCATCCACCACTCCGCACTCGGGACACAGATCGTCCTCGGTCTTCTTTATTCAATATGTATAAGACCGGAAAGATCCATATCCCGTCATAAATTGGGTGAAGTAGTAGTTGGCACGTCTGTGTTTACACTCATACCACCTTACTACATCTGGGATAAGAGCCCTCGTCCAGGTAGCCTTGTCTGTTTCCCTTGACCATTGGTCCTGCCAGATCTCCAAACGCCTTTTTCTTTCTGATCAATAGTTTCCTCTGCATCCTAAGAAGCATGTCTTTATATTTTGCTTTGTTGAGGATCTCGTGCCACACTGGGGCCCCATATAGTAAGATGGACATGATTTACTGTATAACTGATCTTTTGCGTGACCCGGGGCCTCCTATATTCGGCATTATCTTATTAAGGGTCGAGGTCCTCTCTTCCGCCTTCCGACATGCTTCTTGTATGTGGTATCTGAATGCCATTTTGTCGTCTAGTATGATTCCCAAGTATTTTACGGTCTTCTGGGGTCTTAGGTCGGAGCCTCTAAACAGAAAATTTACGTTTTTTCTAACTCGTGGTCCCCTCAAGATGATTACTTTTGTCTTTTCTACTGCAATTTTTAGGTCATTTCTCTCCATCCATCTCGCAGTTATTTCTATTGCTTCATTTACTTTATTTATAATATCCCAATTCATATCTTCTATAAGTAGGGCTAGGTCGTCTGCGTATGCAATAGCCCTTACTTTTTGTGTTTTGTTTACTTCTAGTACCCCGTTGTATAAAATATTCCATAGTGTGTGTCTTCCTGACAAGATTCTCATAGGACTTGCCAAGGCAGTCCAGAAGGCATATTGGCCTATAAGAGGATGCTGAATCGGGGGGTTTCCAGGCTTTAGGAGTAAAATTAGATTTGCTTCCTTTAGTTCCCTGGGAAACTCTTGCTTCTGCAGTAGACCATTATATATTTTTCTGATCAAACCTGGTTTCTCTGTTGTTGCTATCTTCAGTGCTTCCGGTGGCAGTCCATCGGGGCCGGAAGCTTTCCCCGTCTTGATTTCTTGGCCAGCGGTCTTTATTTCTTTTTATGTGAATTCCTCCGCGACCGCAGGGGAGACCTTCAAGAAGGTTTGTTCCTCCTTGGTGGAAAAGAGGAGCTCTCGCCGCGCCTCGCTAAATTGTATGGAGCAATCATCTTTAGTGACTTCTTTTAATCTGCTACCTTTCTTTTTTTTTTCTTTTTTTATTGTTTTATTGAGTTTCTTTTTTTACTGTTTTGTATACTTCTTTGAGTTCGTAGGAGCCCTGGTTTCTCGTAAAATTCCTGCAAGCTCTGAGACACTCCTCGCGTAGGCCTTCAATCTCATCCGTTTACCAGTAGGGGGTTCTTTCTTTGTTCTTTTTCTTTACGGTGGCCAACTCAACAGCGTTCTCTAGTGCCTTTCTGAGTTGGTCAAGGTCAGATATTTCCTCTTCGTTTATTTTTCTGACCTCCGATAGGTACTCGTGCTTATTAAATGTTTTCCCAGTATATCCTATCGGCCGTCTTATGTTCCGCCCTTTTACCTTAATTTCATATGTAATGTATCGGCGGTAGGTGAATAATTGATCGTCGAGGACGTCCCAGTTTTGTATTTGTCTGGATAGCCCTTCACTTGCAAAAGTTACATCAATGTGTGTTTGGCTGGCCCCTCTTGTTGGTTTATTCTTATTAAGTACTGGAGGCTAGCCTGGGCTATCCATTCGATTTAGCATTTATGTCCCCGGCGATCATAATTTGTTTTTGCCTAATGTCGGTGTTCATTATTTCGTTAACTATATTCTTATATTCTCTAATTCTACTATACACACCATACAGTATGCTTGGTTGGGACAACTTTCCACTCTATGCCCATCTTTTAAACAATTATAGCATAATGTTTCCCCATCTATACCCTTACATTCGAACGTATCGTGTCCGAATTTTGGATGGCTCTCTTTAGGATATTTTCATTTACTGATGGTAAATTTTGGTGACCGTGAAGAGGTTTTCTTTTTTTCTCACGGTCATGCTTATGCATCCAAGTTTGTCATTTAGTTCCGCTTGAGTTTCTCAGCCGCCCCTTTCTTTGTTAATTTTACCAGTATATCTCCCCCGTTGTTTTTTTTAAACTGATCTACTTTCAGTCCAATTTTTGTCACATCCACCTTGTCATTCATTTTCTTAATGACGTCTGTGTATGACATACCACCAGTACGTATTAAGAGGGGTTCTTTCGCTTCCTTTATTTTGCACGCCTTCATCCCCCTAACCAGAATCCTCCACGTAATCTCTTTTCTTCTCCCTACAACATTCTAGAGCCTTTCTCATTCTATCCTTTTCTACATTGTTGCTCAAGACCACTTGCACTTGTTTAATTTTTTTTTCCCTTGTCTGACAATTTTTATAATCTTTTCTGACAGATTATATTCTTCCACGCCATCCCCTCCGTTATATTTTAGTACTACTCCGCCGCTAGTAGTAATAAATATAATAAATAACGTTGAACGGCGGTTTTATGAATCTTATAAGAAATAGGTTGGAGGACCATTTTACCCTGGCTGGGAGACATTTTACACGACTTTCCTCTACTATAAACTGTCAGCGATATAATCGGAAACAATATTAGACACGTTTAAATAATAGAAAATCATATTTTTAATTCGGATAATCTAAGAACAATTTCAAAATCAAAACAATAGATAAATATTCTAATATTGAGATAAACTTCTTAATCATAACCTAATATTTTTTGTTACTTATATCTTATCTCATTATTGTGAAGATCTCCGTTTATAATAATGCGAAACGTTTGAGTTACATTAACGCAGGGCGTTTTTAAATGATTATTCGTATTAGTGAATAAATAACAAAAATGGGCAACAATTGTTGCTCAAAAGAAACTGGTCCGGATTTTCCCAGACCGTCGGAAGTGGAAATCAGAAATAACGGCGGGGGTTCGGATAGGGTTGATTCGGTGATACGGTACGATGAACAAATTATCGATTCAATGAAAAAGGAGTATAGGGATATACCAGATGTTTTTCTATTAAATAATTTACTCATGACAGTGCAATTTTTTGAAAATTACCGAAGGTAATGTATATATAGATTAACATACATATTTTTAAAAAGTAGTTATTAAACATATTTTAGAGATATGTGTCTAATGGTAATAAGTTTTTCTCCCTATCTTAGATATTACTAGTTCAGTACCTCTGCCGTTACAGCTAACAATTTGATTTTTTCTTAATTAAATTTATTAAAGGTACAATTTATTAAATGATTGATTCGTCATTTATAATCTTTTTACCTTTATTGACACCATTATTTATTCAAATGTCGAAATAACGGAAGTTTCAGATCAATTTTAATCGAAGTAGTACCTTTTAATTATGATCGTAATATCTTTTGTAATCTGGTCATAAAAAGCATTAAGAAATTTTATTTAACTACCTATTCTCTGTTCACAAATTGTTGATATCACGAAATATGCCTCAAAATCATCAAACGGTCGTAAAATTTGTATCATCATAGGCGTTCCTAAGGTGTTTATTCATTAAAATTAATATTAATATTAATAATGTTTTAATACTGATATATTTAGATAAAAAACAATTAAAACTTTCACGGCTAATGTTGGTTATTATATTATATTAATAAAAATAATAATTTAACCATTAACAATTTTGTAAATAAGAATACCTTATCTCTTTGGATATTTCAATACTAATCTTCGCGTTTAATCACTTTACTAGAAAACCTGGTATTTATATCCGAAGGTACTATCGGTTGTAAGATAATTAGGATGGAATTCCCCAGATTTTTAATAATATAATGGGTATAGATGCCGGATTTGGCCACGTACCTCGTCTGTTTAGTTTATATTCGAAACTTAACTTAAAAGGGTGAAGTTATTACGAACGAAAACAATTTGTTTGTTTAGTACATTTTTGATCGCATGTAATTTACGGCTCGTCGATGTTTCCGCTTCTACGGCAGTAATTAGCGTCTCGAATATTTCATTTGCGAATTATATGCAGTGCGTGAGTGATTTTTTATTCCATATACCTACGAACATATACGTACCTTTCGCTCGTGCTTGTTTTGTTAGATTGTTTGTGATGGCTTCATCATCAACATCATCAAGTTTTACACCGGTACTGTTGCGTACAGTAAGTAAGTCTGTCTATTCACCAAGAGAGAAGACTATTGTCCTGAATGTTCACGATGCTCCGGTTTCTCAGAATCCCACAAACACTGTTCGCAATATAGTCGAAAGTTGTGCCAACATGACTGGCGTAGGGGAGTCAACTATATATAGGTTCCTATCAGAAAGAAAAAAACACGGTATAGCTAACCCAAACACAAACGAACACTTAAAGAGAGGGAAAAAGCCTATTGAACTTGATGAATTTGCCAAAAATGGTATTCGAAGGAAAATTCATGGATTTTTTTTTTAAAAGAAATACCAAACCTAAATAAAATTTTACAAGAAGTTAGAGATGATTCGGATTTGGCTCATATCGGACGAACTAAATTGTGGCAAGTTTTAAAAGAATTAAATTTCCGGTGGGAGAAATCAGACCGAATTGATTGACCGGGAGGAGATAATATGTTGGAGAAGAAATTATCTAAGATCCATACGAAAATTTCGGGCTGAAGGAAGGCCAATCTTCTACCAGGATGAATCGTGGTAAACTCAGGTCATACTCTAAAAAAAGTTTGGTCAGATAAAAATATATTAAGCTCCAGGCAAGCCTTTATGGAAGGTTGGTCTACTAGTATCTCCCCACCTTCTGGTAAAGGCAGTAGATTAATAATTTCTCACATTGGCAGTGAACAAGGATTTGTTAAGCATGGTTTGTTGGAATTTCAGTCCAAAAGCACAAAAGACTATCACGAGGAGATGACAGCTGATGTTTTCGAAGAGTATTTTGTGCAGATGATTGAACACATACCACCAAATTCAATTATAGTATTAGATAATGCACCTTATCATTCACGACTAGTAGAAAGACTTCCAACGACTGCGTGGAAAAAACAGGATATTCTTGACTGGCTGCGGAATAAGTACCTGCCTGACGAAGATGGAATGGTAAAAGCAGAACTTTTAAAAATTGCCCGGTAACACAAATCTAAGTTCAAGAAATACGTAGTTGACAAAATGGCGGAAAGGAGAAACATCACAGTCCTTAGACTTCCACCCTACCACTGCGAAATAAATCCAATTGAAGACTCATTGTGCAAAAATGAGTGTGGGATCTTGATAACATAATTGATGCGACCGTAGAGACACAACCGCTAATTATTAACCCTCAAGACGACTCGGATCCCGAAGTTGATCCTATTTATTTTGAATTTGAATAGTTTTCTAATCGTAATTATATAAGGTAAGTGATAGTAGTTGTAATCGTAAGGTATTAAAGGGGAAAGGCGCAAAACGTCGCCTGTCAAAATGTTCAATGTGTTTTAAATGTATCGATTTTTTTTCAAATCCTGAGAAAACTAAAAAGCCTTTTTGGAAAAATTTAAAGGCAGAATAAAATATTTATTAGAATAAATAAAAAGTTTCTTGTGCATGCAATATTTTCAATTAAAAATTATACTATATTCTCTCTTTTATTTTCATCTCCTGTTGCATAACATAATAAAATAAACATTGTAGAAGTTTTCAGGAACTTTCTGTAATATACATCAGTATACACATATATAATACCCTCAGTAATAATGTAATCTTTCATTCTGCTTTTAAATTTTTCAAAAATATTTATTAGTTTTCTCCGAATTCGAAAATAATGGATACATTTAAAACACATTTGGTGCCTTTTCCCTATCCTCTCTGTATTTCAGTTCTCTAATTAGGATTCAACTTGTAGTGAGCTATCAACAAAAATTGTGAACCGAGTTATAATTAAGTCTAAGGACTTAAGCTTAAGTTTTACTCATTGATATTATTTAATTTCTGTCCACTTATTTCAACATTCTTCTATCCATGCCTGTCTCTTTTCGAAGACTGGCAATTTTAGTTTTTGAAAAGGCAGTATTTGCATATTGGCGGTCAAATCACCTCCTTAAGTCCTTTAAGCTTAAATTCTGCCGTCTTCCTACTGACCTACCATGTATTTTACCCTCCAATATGAATCGAACTAGCTCATATCTTTCACCTCGTATTACGTGATCCAAGTACCGCATTTGCTTTCTATGGTGATGTTTAATATTTCTTTTTGTAGTTCAAGATCTTTTATATCCATAAAATACGCAGTATTATACTGTATACATACATCTTAAAGGCCTATATTCTTTTTCTGTTTGAAAGTACATTGTCCAAGTTTTGCATCCGTAGGTAAGATCTATAAGAAAAACAGAGGTCTGAGCATCTGATCAGCCCAGTTGATAGCTATAGACTGATGATGTTAAAATGTTTTCATGGTCATGAATGCATTCACTGCTTGTTCAATTCTTGATATTTGTTTTTATTGGGTTGTACTCACTGTTGATGTTAACTACCAGCTATTTTAAAGAAGATATTTGTTCTATTTTTTGTCTCTTGACATGTAGGTAATGTACTTTTGTGTTGATGTTTCTCCTCCTCCTCCTAAGTGCCTTCTCTATTGAGGTTGGCGATCAATATGGCAAATTTCTCTCTGTTCTGGGCTTGATGTATTAAGTCATTTCCTGTTGTGTGAGTCCAATCTCTGATGTTTCGGAACCAGGATTTCTTCTTTCTTCCTATACCCCTTTTACCCTCGATTTTGCCTTCTAATATTACCTGGAGCTGCTCAAATTCCTTATGGCGCATTATGTGTCCTAGATATGACGTCTTTCTAATTTTGATTGTATTAACCAGATGAGGTCGTGTGTTCATTATTTCCAGTACCTCTTCATTTGTAGTTTTGCTGGTCCAGCTTATTCTTAGCATTCGGCGGTACATCCACATTTCGAATGAATTCAGTTTTTTGACGTCATACTGTTTTTAATGTCCAGTTCTCACAGCCATATAGTAGTAGAGACCACACATAACACTTTAGTGTTCTTAACCTTATTGTGATTGATAGCTTGGGGTTACAGAGCATTTTACGCATGTTCATGAAGCCAGATCTTGCTATTTCAATACGTCTTCTAATTTCTTTTGAGTGGGCTAGCTGACTGTTTAGCTCTCTGCCCAGGTATATAAAGCTTTGGGAGCTCTGAAGGGTGATACCATTGATTTGTATGTTGGGTGTAATTTGTTCATGGGGGTTCTTGTGGAATACCATGATTTTGGTTTTGGAAAGATTAATATCCAAACCTAGTATGTGACTTTCTTCTGATAGTATGTTCATCAATATTTTTAGTTGGTCTATCGTTTCTGCTAATACTACGGTGTCATCGGCATATCTTACATTGTTAATGATGATTCCATTGACTCTGGCACCTTCAGGGCGATCTTCAAGAGAAGCTCTGATGATATTTTCGGCATAAACATTAAATAGAAGAGGGGACACAATGCACCCTTGACGCACTCCTCGTTCTAAGTTTCCATTGGTAGTCCATTGGTATTTCCGTTGTCTGTTCGGACACATCCTGTGTGGTTCCAGTATGTATTGCTTATTATAGCTATGTCGTGTCCGTCCAGCCCTACTTCTTTTAGCACCTCAATCAATTTTTCGTGATATGTTTCTAAGAAAATCTTTAACAATATGTTTGAAAGCCAATCAAGCTCTCTTTTGAATTTCTGGCATTGTTCCGGTGGAATATGCATTTTTAAGAAGCTGCCAAATCCATTGACCATCAAAATCATCGGTCTTTATTTTTTTAAATGACAGACTTTATTTTTGATTGAGGTGGAAAGGTTCTAAACCGTCTAGGGACTGTTGAATTCAATTCTGAGAGGAACGCATACAAGGATATCATCTACCAACTAAAACCCACCCCCTTCTTCGGACAAGGCACCCCCGGAGGAAGTTCAATCGGTGAACGAAACATTGGGATGCCTTGCGCAGTCTGGGACTTCGAGTGAAAAACTGGAAGAAGAGTCTTACCTAAAAACGATAAGAACCACTTAGAATAACATATAACCACAATATTGTAAAGAGATAATATATGGGATGATT